TATACCCAGTCTTCCATGTCTCTTGCCTTAAAAAACATATAGGTGATCACATTCAACCTACAATTCAATTACCAGTCATAACTGATAAGGGGATACTCCAAGACGTTCTAGTGGCAATGTTGGAGCGAATGATGGTCAAGAAATGCACTACTGCAGCAACTGAAGTTCTAGTCCAGTGGCAAAACCATGCTCCAGCAGATGCAACTTGGGAAGATTATGCAAATTTGAAGTCCAAATTTTCGATCTGGCTCAATTGTGATGTTTCCATTCCATCAATGCATTATCTTAAGTGTTGTCATTTCTTTTGAAGTCTTGTGTACAAGCCTTGTTTTGAGAGTGGGGTATTGATAGGATGATGTGTATTGTGACATATCAACATAGTTATGTTGATAAGATTGACAGTGCTGACTAAGACAAACAAGAATTAGTTAGAATTGGTTGTTGGTTAAGGGTTGTTAGGGAGTGACTTAGGGAGGAAGTTGCCTGGTTACTATATAAGAGAATATTGTAAAAGGCAAAGGTTGTTGTAAAAGTTGATAATGCAATGAAATATACTAGCTACTGATACATTGAGTAAGAAGCAGAGTAAGGGTTGTATCAACAAATCTTTTATTTATAATAGTAAAAATAAAACTAAACTAAAGTTAATAATTAGTGGCTAGATTTTAGGTGATATATAAAGTCAAAGGACCAAAATTAATTAGTATTTAATCTTACACCCAACTTTATTGAAAAATAGATCTTATTTAGGGATTATAATCTAGTTTCCTACACAATTAATCTGAGATTTTAAAGATCATGCTAGCTAGGGTTTTGCGTTTAGGATCTAGCAGCTTCTTTACTTGTCAGTGAAGTAGGAAATCTGTGTATCACCAATTAAGTCTATGTTCATATATAATATTTTGATTTGTTGTTTAGCAACATGTAAGCAAGTTATGGTTACAATTAAAATCTTCAGAGCACATTAATCTGAGATTTTAAAGACCATGCTAGCTAGGGTTTGCGTTTAGGATCTAGCAACTTCTTCTTAACAACAAAGTAGGAAATCTTTGGACTACCAATTTACCAATCAAGTCTATATTCATATATAATATTTTGATTTGTTTTGATCCTATCTATATATATATATATATATATATATATATGTATGTATGTATGTATGTATGTATGTATGTATGTGCAATCAAGGAATCAACATACACATGTGCTATCGCTCATGCACCAAAAAACAAATACAAAACCCAAATGGACTAATTAATCACACCCATATAACCAACAACAACAATCAAATTTTATCTCACAAAGTGAGATTAATGGTATAAATTGTAAAACACCACTGCATAGCAAACCAATCGATTGATTTCAATCATAGCCTGTTTTGTGTTTGTCGCAAAGTCTTTGCGCCAACCCTAATTAAACCTTATCCGTTGTGTACGATATCTATGGGAGGATGCACAAGCCAAGTAAAAGAATTATCCCTTTTATTTCATTTTATGGAAATGCTTTACGTAGCGATAAAGCAATCATTATTTACACGCTGTTTATATGTGAAATTGTATACATTGATCGAAGACAACCAGCTAATCATTTGAGGTTGAAACAAAGATGGAACCGGATCCCTCCGACCCAAAGAAATTAAGCTCAAATATCAAATGATCCAGGCTATTGAAATTTGATCTAATGGCTACAATTATTATCACTTTTAGAGGGCCTCTTGTTTGTACTTATTGAATCAAATTTCAATAATCCGAATCATTTGATGAGTAAGCTCAGTTCCTTTAGGACCGGAGAGGATCCGGTTCCAACAAAGATATCTGGACTATGGAATAGGAATCTGGTCCAATTCCATGACAGAAACATTCATCAATATACTTGATACTTCTGCAGCAAGGTGCTGCAAACGCAGTACATTTGTTTTTGCATGTCATGTCATATCGAAGCATATATACCAAGTACAGTCCCAAATGTAGGAATAAGATGCCGCTTCTTCTGGAATATGAGAAACCCTATAATTCCTCTTGTATATTAGTAGGCGAATAATGTTATGTCGCTCTACTCAAAAGATGAGTAGGAGTTCTTACTTAATATTGTTATTGTCAATTTATAGAATTTCGTAATTATGATTGGAACTGTTTATATTATGAATACTTTATAAAGATCGTTTCTGCAAAAAATCAATTAAAACTAAGGTTGTTTAGCCATCGAACTGTATAAAAACAAATGAACATAATTGGTAAAAATATTATGAACTATCTATGTCTTTGCTACAATAGATTGACTAATTACAATCTTAGTTTTAATTCATCTTTTGCAGAGATAATATTTATAGAGTGATTTATAACATGAACGATAAGATCATAAGTAAAAAGTTCTATGATTCGAACACAAAAAGATTTGAGTAAAAATTCCTATTCACTCTTGAGTCAAGCATTAGGCGTATATGCTCCTTTCGTTTTTTCCCATCATGTACACACACACGTATATACATATACATATATGTATATATATACACGTATATACTCACACACACATAGGAGACGACTGCCAACTTTCCTTCGTATATAAAATAACATCTAAAATGTTCATGCAGTTGCAAAGCTGTCAGTCTCCATTCACTGAGTAGTAATAAGTAGAATTGTAAAGTAGTTTTTTTTCAGAAGCATACGTACACACTGCCATTTGACTTAAGATTTGAAATTTTTGGAGAAGACATGGTGATGAGAACATCCTCGGAGCGTTCTCCACCAGATGGGACTCATCATGTACCTCCTCGATCTGTTCTAAAATATGTAGCACCAATGCTACTTCATTTTTTAAAAGCACTCCCATCAGCCTTTTTTCCTTTATGGAGACCCTAGAAACTATTGAGGAAGAGTAAATATAAAGCACTAACTATTATATTTGGCAATCAGTCTCTAATTTGTTGGACAAGATCATGAGTTCAAGTCTCATAAACGACATTATAATGTTGAATCATCATAGCAGCACCTCCTTCAATTTTGGGTTTTCGACCTGAACCGATGAAGAAAAACTTGGATCTCATGGATTATAGAATAATTTACCAAAGGAAAAATATTATAGAATAAGCTAACCCTAGATTAGATAATTAAGATGGTTATTCTTATGGTCTAACTTCAAGACAGTATGGCACCCAGCGTCTCTAATTGGGCTTTTTCTGTGTTAAGGGGGACACTGCGTTGCCTCAGATCAGCCGAATACCTTTTTGAGAGAAGTAATTGTCCATCGTCATGTAATAGGTTAGTTGGGCCTTTAGCCACATTACAACTTCAGAACAAATGAAGACTGAAACTTTGATATGAAATAAGATGAGAACCTTTTGGCATCTATTTTTGGGCCATTTGGGAATTATTTTATTCAAAACAATTTTGCTCAAAAGCATTTCTGTTGGAAGAGCATCAAAATTATTAATGAAAATACAAGCGCATTTTTGTAACTCAAAAGCACTTTTGTCTCTTATTTTTTTGTCGAAATTTGCCTATTTGGTGATATAAAAGCGCTTTTAGTTGTTTAAAAGCATTTTCAAATAGCCGAGTCATGTAGTACGGATTTATAACTAAGTATGACATTAAAGTAATTAGTTGTATAGATGATAAGTCAAGTGAGTAAAAAAGATTCAGTATCACCTCTTTTTCATCTCAAATTAAACACGTCTTAAGCTCTCAAATTAGTTGAAAAGATTCCACCGCAAACGGGAGAGTACAAGAAGAAAATAGATTCAAGTTCAAAACCAACCCTGTTTAATTAATCATCACATAATTAATAATGGTAACATGGACGTGCGTGTGTGATAGTCAATGCGTTAATAAGATAAATTATATACACTAGAACTTGATTTGTTTATAGGTACCTCATGTACATTACACAAATAAGACACTTTCCGATATGTAGAAAACCAAGGCCTAGTTTGTGTCGAGGAAACTATGAGTTAAATATTAAAATGATTTTTTGTGTGTCATACGTATTTAAAATTGACAAAATAAAATATAATTTGTATTGAGCGGTTTTACTTTTAATTATATTGAAGTATCTTATTGTGCCGTGTTGTATTAGTGTTAAAATGCAAATTAAAAAAAAAGTGATTAGTAAGAATCCAACACATACAAAGTGAAAGATTCATCATAATTTATAAATAAAGGATTCCTTTCCTATAAATTCATCGAGCATATCTAATCAAGCTGAATAGAATTTAAATAACTGTTACAATCATTCACATCAATTTCAACAAACAAGAAGGGGGAAGCTACTGTTTTTGGAACAGAAGTAAAGGTAGCTTGCTTACTCTTCTAGCAGCGTATGTTGGCAAGGGAAAAAAGAGGCATTAGGACCATACGAAAGTAAAGAGGCATTCGGGAAGCGACTAGTCGCTTATTGCGAAGTTTCACAAGAATGTTCCGAAAAAGGACTTCGTGTTGGGTTGAGGGATTTTAAATGGTAGATAGGTTTGGGAGGATGTCTACATCTATATTATATTTGAATGAAATTTACTGAAGATGATGACCTCTAGAATTTGCAATTAGGATATGTTTATGCTACCTAACTATTTGCTTTCAAGTTTTTGGATTTTTAGTGTCGGATCAGTCTATAAAATATCATCCATTGCGTCATTTGCGGGCATAGTGCCAATGAAATCCATATTTTTACAATAAGTTCTAGAACCTCAAATATTAAAAACTTTAACTTCCCGGTGGATGATGCGGGTTTACATTATCCTTGCGGATTTACATCATGATCACATACATTCGGTTATCTGTTATCTCAATGGAAGATTCTGAGAAGACTGACAAGTATACATGACGTGGTACTGTAAGTTTTAATATGTTTCATACTTATCAAAACACTATAATCACTTACTTGGAAAAGAAGACATTTTGACCTTGCAGATGCAACCCACGAACGGATTAAAGAAACCCTAATAAGCCTATAATTAGCATACTAAAGTCCATAGGATTAGTCACAACTATGTAAACCAATATGGAGAATGATCAAATAGCATACCATATTCTACCATTACTCAATGTTGATCATCGATACAAAGCCCTTGAAGGCGCACTAATCTCAATACAAGGTCACTATCAATGGGATTAGGCGGGCTCCACCCAATCATTTGTCGTACAAATTTAAATACAATAAGGATTAAGTCTTGGACCCCCACCATCACAGACACAAAAGAGTTGGTGATCAACATCAATGTCGGTTAAACTGTTACTCCATCCTCCAAAGGCCCCAAACCAAAAAAATGTCATTTCATACATCATTGCCTAACGCCTCGTTTGGAGATACAATATTTTTGCTCGTAAGCATTTTTGCTATGATGTTACAATTGAAGGCCGTTTACTATTTTTCGTCCAATATAGTTAGAAATGCTTTTATTTGTCAAATAATTACTCTAGAAGCATTACTCAAACAAATCCTAACCATTTTGCCCACCCATCTCAATGGACCTAAAGCTTGCGGACCCGAGATCCTTATACGGGCCGGGTGAAGCCCCGCCATCTTGACCCATGAACCTCTTCCCCCCTCCTCCTCTCTTCCTCCTCCACACCCTAAACCTCCAAACACCCACTACCCCAACAAATATCAAAAGCGCCACACAAACCACCCCAATCCCAACCCCCACACCCACATTTATTTTCTTCCTCCCTGCACCCTCCCGCACCTTAAAATAACCCATCTTACTCTCATCCCCAACGCCCACCAAACTCTGGATCGGGTAATCCATCAAGTAACAAAACCCGGACCCGTTATTGTACACCGCGCCCCAACAGCTACAGTTCCTTTCACAAGTTCTTTCGCATTCACCGTAAGACGACATCATTTTATACTTCATCAACTCCTTGTACGGCAGCTCCACGCCGTTCCTCCTTAAAACCCGGAAGCTTTTAATTTCCCGCCATCCGGAACCGCAGAAGTCGCCGGTCTGAACCGGAAAACACTCACCGGAATGGAACTCCGTCTGGTTATTCAAACACGAACACGAAGCATTCCCGGCCCCGCACAAACCGAACGAACCGCATGGACTGGGAAGCTCGCATGTGGCGGCAATCGCCTGGAAATCCAAAGCCCAGTTGGAACCGTCCCAGTAATACGCCTTGAGGTTTCCGTCCGCTTCCAACCTGACCTTACGGAGGCCGTTGATTAGCCTTGGAAAGGTCATGAACGCTTGGATGTCGACCGGAGTTGGGTTCCCGGTTTGGTACATTCCGATGAACCCGTCCGGATCAACACGGGCGTAAATAGGTCCTTTTCCTTCGACGACTTTGGCCTTGGCTTCCATGGCTTTGCGTTTCCAGTACTTTTGGTCTGCATTTGAACCCGGTTTGAACTTGGCGAACAGACCCATGAAATTGTTCCCCAATCGCATTGAGTATAGGCCGTTCGATGAGACAAGCTTCATAGTCGATGTGAAATTCTGATTCTCGACGAGGGTATTTGTTGGAAAGTCAAAACTCTGCCATAGAACGGTGTCCTGGGTCGTTTGGATTTGGACGTTAGAGGTGTCGAGGACTGCAAGCCGGTCGCCGATTTCGGAGTGAGTTGACCAGAATACCTTCGACTGGGGATCTGAGAGGACTAGGCTACCGTTGAAGAGGAGGGTCGTGCGGTCGGACCAGCGGGCGAGTTGGGCAGGGTTAGCGAGCCAGACAGGGTCGGAGGATGGCACGTGGAGGAGGGCCAGAGCGAGTTGGGTTTTGTTGACTCGGAGGAAACCCAGTGAAAAGTTGCCGGTTGGGTCAGTGAGCACAGGTTGGAAGGTTTGGATTGAAGGGTCCGGAGTGGCTTTGAAGCCTCTGGAAAGCTCCGCTTGGGCAGAGGCGGCGCAAGGTGGTGATGTGACGTAGAGTAATACAAGTGTGAGAAAAAGAAGCTGAGGTGAACTTAGACGAGTGACTGAGTTGGTGAACGTTTCCATAGTGGAAATGAATATCAGAGAGAGAGAGAGAGAGAGAGAGAGAGAGATGACTACGGAACAAAAGCAGCCATGGGAGGGAAACAAAAGGACAGCAGCAGCTCATATATAACAATATTTTTGAGCTGCAAAACTCAAATATTATTATAACATAGCTTGACTGTTTGCAACTTGCAACATTGTTTACAATTGCCAATCTTCGACGCCAATTCTGCTCTGATTCTTATAGTTTGTTTGTTTGAAGTGCTCTGATTCTCAAAAATTTCGGAACATATATTCGGAAATTCATATATATATATTCAATTTTTTTTTTAATATTCTATAACTTTTTCGTACATACAATTTATTTTATTTTTTTCAAATTTGGCCTATGTATAAGTTCAATTAATTTTGGGCTATACTAGTACGCCTATTTTTGTAATATATAAGTGTATATTCAATATAAAAACAATAACCAAAGTATATCTAAAACTAACAATAAAACACAAAAATTGATTACAAAATATATAATTTGAGTAATTAAGTACAAAAAATCAGAAATTTTCGATTTTTTTTATAGGAATAAGTCACTTTGAAAAAATTCAGATCAAAAATTCAAAATCTCTAAATGCAATCCAATTTCTGTTCCAAATTTTCGAAAAATTATCGCATTATTGAAAATTTTATTGGCAAAATTGGAAACATCATTCCCACTTGACCCCTAGCTAGTTTTATTTAATTCATGACAACTAAAATCGTAGTGTATATATATATATATATATATATTTTTTTTTTTTTTTTTTTATTTTATTGCAAGCAATTTTTTTTTTTTAAACAAATGATATTATCTACACTAAGGGGGAAGGGGTAGGCTTAACCTCACACTAGGCTAACAATAATGTGGTTCAAATTCATCTTTGACGAGAATCGAATATAAAACCTCTCACTTACAAGTGAAAAAAATATCATTATACTGTAATACTAAGTGGCTATTGTAAACAATATTTACACTAAGGCAAAAGAGGAAATTTAAACTTGAAACACATTGCATTAAAGAGGAATGCCTTGTTCATCTGACTAATCTACCACTTGTCTTCTAGTGTTACAAAAAAATTCCCAACACTATAAAGTGTAGACCTCTTTCATCATTTTATATGCATTTCTTTATACATACCTTAATAGTGGGCAACAATTAGTATGTTAATAATTAGTCAACGAATTTGGTGTTGACCTTTTTTTTTTTTTTTTTTTTTTGTTTAGTTTGCAGACTTGGTGTTGATTATTGAGAACGACATATTGTTTTCTTTGTTTGTTCTTTAGCTATTCCGATACAACCGTTTTATGACTTGTGTGGGAGTTGGAGTTAGCCATTTTCAAAGTAGGGAGAGAGTTGGCATCTATAAGAAAATCGTTGAAGTTCTAAAAATGTTTTCTGAGGTTGGCTACTTTCTATTAGCAGCACTTTGAATAAGCTATATATATGCATATGAAGGTAGCCTATGTATATGCGTGCCATCCTCATCCAATGCCAACATCATTAAATTGAAATCAAACCAATGATGATCGAACTTATTTGTTTGTGCAATTTTTTGTGAGGATTGAATTGACGAGAACCTGCAATACAAAATCAAAGAGACTAACACCGGTGTGGTGTTTGTCACAGAGCCTTTGATGCCTATGTGATGAGAGAATTCTTGGTTTGTGTAAGTGTAGCTAGAGATAAATTAACCTAAAGAAAAAAGGATAGAGGCTTGGCTATTTATAGGCAAACAAAGGAGTAAACCCTATCTTGGAGGAGAGTGGTAGCTTGTCTACAACACCGATGTGGAAGCATTCTGCAAGGTTATTGCAGATGATGCTCCAACCCCCCCCCCTCCCAAAAAAATGTCTCAATTAAACTTCAGACATTCCCAATAAGTGCAGCGACTGATAAGCGGATCGATTGTATATCAAGGTCGCCCCCAAAAAATGTCTCGATTAAACTTCAGACGTTCCCGATAAGTGCAGTGACTGATAAGCAGATCGATAGTATATCAAGGTTGTCCGCGTTAAGGCCGTTTGGCGGCAAGATGGGCCTCAAGGACTGATGAATGTGGACTTCTTGGGCGCTCTAAGGAATAGAGGCTTGTAAGCCCATCGAGGTATGGATAATGTCTGCATGGTCTGTCAAGAACAGAACCGACATATTGAGTTGATAATACACATGTTATGCTCTAACAGGACGAAATATTTTATATTCCAACATTATTCATGTGAGATCTTTCTATCAACCACCCCTTTTACATTTATTTCATTTTAACGTTTTTTTATTTCGCTTGTGAGGTAGAAAATTTTCAGCGAGGAGATGCTTTGTCACGTAAGCTGAGTGACAAGTTCTATTGAGTTGGGGCACTCGCAGCCAAAGTTTTAGTTTTTTTTTCGACATTGATTGACAAGTTCTATTGAGTATAAGCTTTAAGACAAATAATGTCAAGAATTGGATTCTTTTCCATGATAACCAAAAAAGAAAGACACATATAAATGTGTGTGTAACTATGTATAAATAGGATTTAAGTTCTTGAATGTTTAATGTCGAAATTGTAGTGCTCCAGAGTATTATATACGTCAGGATTTTTTATCGTTAGTTTTAAGTTTTATATCCTTAACAAAAAAATTAACGGTTAAAACCTCTAAAACTATAAAATACCCTAGAGTATACCAAAAAATGTCAATTCAATGTTTCGTGCAAGATGTCAATGAATTTGATTCATCCAGAAGGGGAGAAATTAAAGATACCATCATCAGGTGGGCGCCAGGTTTGACATTTTCAATAACGCATTGAATCAAGGGTTGACTTCTATCTAAAATGAATTGGGAAGAACTCCAATCTCCATTCAAGAATTTTCAATATTACCATTAATATATAGTTGCATGTTGTTTGACCTAATTGCAGAATACAGTTAATTACATATACATATATATGATATTATAAACATATAATTTATGAATATATATATATGTATATATATATATATATATATATATTGATTCAACGGATCAAAAGATACACTAACCCTACCAGGCATATCTCTTCAATTCAAAGCCATTTGATATGTCTGAATCATTCTTTCTCTCTTCCAAGATTTCGATCACTCTTTTGACCTTTCACCCTACATATGTCTATTTACGCCATTTTTCTCCTCTCTGCTCCTCTGCTTTGATCTTCTTTTCTTTCTTAAGGTCTTGAACAATGACCATTGCACGTCTCAGCCGTTTCTTCAATGAACAAAGCCTTACTTTTCTCCAAGAATAGAGAGCTTGCGAACTAGATCTTGACTTTTGCCTATATATCTAATTGATTGTCTGAGTCCGGCTCACTGCACGTGCACATGGTGGTGATGGCCTCACGTTTCTTCATTGAGGAATGTGCAACTCTCTTATTTGGACTTTTACTTAGAGTAATGTTAGGAAAACTAAATTTGTAGACTAAATTTTGTAAACTAAATTACATAGAAGTTAATGATTGGATTATCACTTAAATATTGATAAACATGCTCATTTTCCATTAGTGACAGTGTGACATATCATTTATTTTGTAAATTTAGTCTCTTTGGTATTTTATCGTGTATTGTCACCTGATAATTGAAACGGTCTACTTTCTATATCACCCTTTAAAGATCACTGTTGTAAAAAAATAAAAATAAAAATAAAATAACTAAATCAAAACTTGTTGAGTCATATAATGGTTATTGATAGGATTTTTACCACCTGCAAAAGTAAGGATAAAAACACTTAAAAATATTTGCAAGAGTACAAGGTTGTCATTGTGACATCCCACATCGCCCAGGGGACTGATCCTTATATGTATATTCCATTTCTACCTAGCACGAGGCCTTTTGGGAGCTCGCTGGCTTCGGGTTCCGTGGGAACTCCGAAGTTAAGCGAGAAGAGGGCTAGAGCACTCCCAGGATGGGTGACCCTCTGGGAAGTTGCTCGTGAGTTCCCAAAAACAAAACCGTGAGGGAATGGTAAGCCCAAAGCGGACAATATCGTGCTACGGTGGTGGATCGGGCCCGGGAAGTGGTCCACCCCGGGCCGGGATGTGACAATTTGGTATCAGAGCCTAACCCTGGCCGTGGTGTGCCGACGAGGACGTCGGGCCCCTAAAGGGGGTGGATTGTGACATCCCACATCGCCCAGGGGACTGATCCTTATATGTATATTCCATCTCTACCTAGCACGAGGCCTTTTGGGAGCTCACTGGCTTCGGGTTCCGTGGGAACTCCGAAGTTAAGCGAGAAGAGGGCTAGAGCACTCCCAGGATGGGTGACCCTCTGAGAAGTTGCTCGTGAGTTCCCAAAAACAAAACCGTGAGGGAATGGTAAGCCCAAAGCGGACAATATCGTGCTACGGTGGTGGATCGGGCCCGGGAAGTGGTCCACCCCGGGCCGGGATGTGACAATTACATCCCACATCGCCCAGGGGACTGATCCTTATATGTATATTCCATCTCTACCTAGCACGAGGCCTTTTGGGAGCTCACTGGCTTCGGGTTCCGTAGGAACTCCGAAGTTAAGCGAGAAAGGGGCTAGAGCAATCCCATGATGGGTGACCCTCTGGGAAGTTGCTCGTGAGTTCCCAAAAATAAAACCGTGAGGGAATGGTAAGCCCAAAGCGGACAATATCGTGCTACGGTGGTGGAGCGGGCCCGGGAAGTGGTCCCACCCGGGCCGGGATGTGACAATTTGGTATCAGAGCCTAACTCTGGTCGCATGTGTGCCGGCGAGGACGTCGGGCCCCTAAGGGGGGTGGATTGTGACATCCCACATCGCCCAGGGGACTGATCCTTATATTTATATTCCATCTCTACCTAGCACGAGGCCTTTTGGGAGCTCACTGGCTTCGGGTTCCGTAGGAACTCCGAAGTTAAGCGAGAAAGGGGCTAGAGCAATCCCATGATGGGTGACCCTCTGGAAAGTTGCTCGTGAGTTCCCAAAAATAAAACCGTGAGGGAATGGTAAGCCCAAAGCGGACAATATCGTGCTATGGTGGTGGAGCGGGCCCGGGAAGTGGTCCCACCCGGGCCGGGATGTGACAGTCGTAGTATAACAGCTCAAGCAAGATCTTTTTCCACATGGATTGAATAAATAATTTGTGTTTAAACTAATTTTTAATTAATTATTTGAAACAAGGTTTGGAAAAAATTGATTTTGAAATTTTAAATAATAAAAACGAATTTTAAATAAAAACAATTAAAGAAATTAGCAAAGTAAAGAAAACAAAAGAAAA